GTCAGGGGAAGGATGAATAATCCCCTTATACCCATGCAGGCTAAGGAGATTCACACATTGATTCAGCTTGTCCTTAAGATCCACGATCTCTAGGTCCTGAGCATGCACCCTCATCAACAGCTCTTCTCGAGAACTCCGAGTTCGAGGATCCATTGTTTCCTTCGGATGCTCAAAAATCTCAAAGTCAATGTTGTTATCTAGTAACAGATTTTGCAATTTGGCAATGTAATCCGTAAGGAGCTCGATCTCACGAGCCTTCTCTTTCAATATATCCATGGCTGCAATGAAGCGGTGAGTTCTGGTTATAATCATGTGCTGAACTCGGGCTAGCACTTAATGCTTCTCGAGGAACCAGGGGGACACGGTAATCTGTTGTCTCGCCCTCAGCCGAGCATTCTCCTTCTCCAAGGTGACCAGTTCATCATGGATTTCGGCCTCGAAAGTCAAAGAATCACCGTAATCTTTCAGACTTTGAGCTTCCCGATGTTGCATCTCCTCACGAAGTCCTTTAATCTCATTTATCAGATGCTGATTAACCTTCACATTATGCATCCTCATTGCATCAAGAAGGTCATTCTCTAGATTTGCCACTGTCTCGATACTGTGCACATCGGCACGAGTTCTTAGAATTCTGCTAATCATGGAATGTAGCGGGAACTCGCTTGATTGCTCCTCCAATAGCACCATGAGGTGAACACGGTGGACGGGCCAACTATCCTGCTTCACAAGAGAAGTGTAAGATGTTTACATCAAACCAGGAAAAAAATAAAAAGAATAGGAAGAGGATGCTTGTATAAGGGCACGGAAAAGAAAAAATGGAGTACTCAGTTCATTACAAAAAAAAAAAAAAACAAAACACAGCAGTTCAACAGGCCTAACAAGCTATTACAAGAAGCAGGATTCATACAGCATCACTGCCTGGAGAAGGGTTCTGAGGAGCATCCTCGGCGTTTCTCTGCACTCCAGAGTGGCCAGTATCAGCAACGTCCTCCTCGGTGGCTTCATCAGCATCTTGAGCTCGATACTCATGTACTCATCCGGTACATCAGGTATGGGATCTTCTTCACTCGGGCCCCTGGCAAGGATAGCGGGTACGTCGCCTGGGAACGAGGCAATGTCTACGGGAGAACTCATTTTCGGCAAGGCACCAGTCAGAGCTTCCCACATGGGCAGTTGCTCGAGGTTCAATCTCGTGAGGACCTTCACCATCGCCTCGTGCATGGTCTTCTTTGGGTCCTTTATCAGGAGCTGCTTAAACCACTTGTCTTTAATTAGCCTGTCCTGATCGAGCCTCCTCAAACCTGCCACGCCTACCCGGTGCGCCCCGCACTTGGTGGCAACCAAATTCATCTCCTCGAGGGCCGCGACCATCCCTCCTGTGGACAGCATCTTGTACATGAACGCCGCACACCACTGGTGTAGTTCCTCCTTCGAGATGTGCAGGCTGGCGAAAGACTTCATCTTCTCGTCCAGCTCGTCATATTTGGCTTGTACCAAGGCGATCTCAGCTTCCTTCACTTGGACCTGACGAGCCTTTTCCTCGAGAGTCACCACCTCGAATAGAGCTTCATCCCTTTCAGATCGAGCTGCGACCAGGTCTTCTCGCAGTTTCCTCAGCTGCACCAGGTAGGCCATCGAGGCCGCGCTTATCTACACCAACAAAACATATTAGAAACACACTAAGGTGGTACCGGTTTGTGGTAAAAATTCATAACAGCGAAAACTCCCTTATGAATCTCAGACTGTCAGCCTCATTCAGCTGAGCAGCAAATTCTTCGAGGACGGGACACTTGATGGTCGGTGGGTTGCTGAAGATGTGCACAGCCACGGACGGTCCTCCCTCGAACAGTTGAGGGGGCAAGGTTATTGCTTCTCCTTTGAGGGGGCCTTTGCCTTTTTCTGGTGCAGGGGGAACGACACTTGGCCCTGCTTCTGGCGGAGGATTTTGAACAGTCTCAGTAGCAGGGGGTACTGTCTCGTTACCCGGTGCTATGGCTTCTTTCGAGGGCGCATCCGTTTTAGCCTTATTAGATTTCGCCCTATCACCGACCTTGAAATCACAATAGTAAAAAGATCTTCGTCACCAAACAATTGAGAACCAGCGTTGCTTGACGACATGACCTAAGAACAGACAAGGAAAAAGCAAATGATTAGTACCTTGGTTTTCTCCAACAGAGGTTTCGAGAAGGATTCTGCTTGAGGTCACGACATTAGCATTATCATCCTCCTCGGCGTACACAGGAGGTACGTAATATTGTACGTCGTTCCATTTAACGACCTTAGAATATTTCAGAATTTTCTCCACATCTGCATTAAGCTCCTCGATGCACTTTTCGTCTTCTTGGGTCCACTCATCCTTTATGGCTCCAAAACCCTCTGTTTCTTGGTAATTCCACGACAGGCAATAGCTCTCGGATGCCCTTACTAACAAGAAATCAGGCTTCCATTCAGGAGAGTCGCCATACGCCTCGACCATCTTTTTAACACCGGATCTAAGGCGCCTCTTCACAATATACCAGTCTTAGAAAGAGGTCGAGGGCACAACTACTTGGAAGAAATACCTCCACAGTATCAACCGAGGTTTTACTTTAACATGTTGGCATACTCTTGCGAATCCCAGCATAAAAGTTATTAAATTCGGGGTGAAACGAGCAAGAGGAGTCCTATAGTGTTGCACAATCTCCTCGAACAGAGGGAAGAGGGAGAATCTAAGCCCTAGATGCATAAATCGGTCATACACAGTAATTCTTCCCTCAGGAGGAGAGTTGGCCCTCTCGTTTCAACGGGGCTCTCGCCTCTAGATCTGAAGGAAGGTCATATTTTGATCTAAGGTTCTCCACCTTATCGACAGAATCTATGGTGGATGCGAAGTCATCAACAGTTTTTCCTTCCGAATCCCTAACCATGATTCCGGTACAAATCTACTCTGGCTACAGATGGAAAAGACAAAAACTTCGATTGAAACCGGGGGTAGTCAGATCTGAAAACTTACTGTTAGAGGAGGATGTGACCACTCGCCTTTCGAGTTGTAACTTCCCAGTGTTCTTCCTGAATCCTGATGGCAAATCCCCTGGTAATAACATCGCCGGGGCAGTATGTAGGTGAAGGCTTGAATATTCCGGCAAAGGCAGTTAAAACACTCTAACGGGGAGAAGAATTTGAGTTTTTGCGAAAAAGGAAAAGTAATAAGTGAAAAAAGGAATGATGGAGCCTTCTCCTTAAAAATAAAAATTGTTCTCCCACGTCTCCCTAATTACAGCCCACGATATGACAGTTAATGCGAATTTCAAGGGAATAATGATGGTGAAGCCTCCGTTTGGGGAACGTGCCCACTAATGACGCACGATTGTAAACGGGTCATCTTCTCGGGTCAAGACCTAACCCGCTGGTTACCCTCGGGCTTCCAAGATCGAGAGTTGTGCGTTATAGTCGAGGCTACTTGACGTATTGCTCGACAATTAGCTGAACGAGAGTAGTCTATCCACTCTCGGATTTGTCCCAGGTAACTTTGTGCCAAACGTTGTTTATCTTATATAACTAATACTTGACAGAGGCACTTGACGAGTCCGTATCCATCATCGAGACTGGACCGGCCCATCAACCGAAAGGAGAGTCCAACCGGAATTCTTGAAGCGGTTTAGGTTCCTGAAACCTAATAGGACTCAGGGATTTCTCAGGTATTCTCATACCTATAAATAGGGTTACTCATGCCACAATACAGGTGCGCAATACATAGCTTAATATACTACATACCTAAATCTTCCAGCAACCCTTTATTGACTTAAGCATCGGAGCGTCTACCATCGGGAAACCCCGAACCCTTGTTTTGCAAGAAACCCTAGCCGGAGTTCCACCGTTAGACCGGCGGCGCAAAACCAAGCATCGCCACTTAACAAACAACAAAGGCCATCCAATTACTGATGCATCAGGGAACGAAGCAGATCCATTCCAGTTTGGAGCAGGTCATTTCAGGCCAACAAAGGCAGCAGCGGATCCTCCTGGCCTTATTTACGATGCATCCTATGAAGACTATGCTCTCTGTCTGCAACTTCAACAACTCTAAGAAGGTTGTTCATCGCTTTCACTGTCCTAAGAAACCACCATCAGCGGGCAATCTCAATTACCCGTCAGTTGCAGTCCCCAAACTCAAAGGCACGGTAGTTATTAAAAGAACGGTAACAAATGTTGGCAGCAGCACCAGCAGCAGTATCTTATTTCGTTACTGCCAAACCTCCGGTTGGAATCTCAGTCAAAATTTCGCCACCAATTTTGATATTTAAGCATCTTGGTGAGAAAAGAGTTTCAGCATAACATTGAAAGTTGAGCCAGAACTCGAAGTTGGTAAACTTCCAAGAGGGAAGTACTTAATTGGGCACTACAGTTGGAATGATGCTAATAATGTCTACGATGTCCGAAGTCCTATTGCAGTAACATTGGCCTAGGTTACTTATGCGTTAACTTCTCTCTCTGCTATGTATATAAGTATTTTCCGAGTCTCTTTTTCCATCAGAAACAGATGTAAAGCAGTAGAGAAGTAAGCAACGAATGAACAAAACTGGACATTACTTAGCGTTATATGGTTTTAGTTCATCCCTGATCAAACCCTTTGATTTAGCCGAATAACAGGTCAAAGATAACAATCTCTGTAAAAACAACATTAGAAGTATTTCTTCTGTTCTGGGAAAAAAAAAGAAGGAAAAAGAAGTCATTTGTTGAACTACATCATCCATAAAAACATGAAGACATGTTTACATAAAAAAAAAAAAAGAGATCTTATCTATAAGATACTTTTCTCACGTCGCATCCTCTAAATTTTTCTATTCAAATTTCACTGTAGAAGCTGAGTTTAATGGCCAACAAACGGATCCAAAAACCAAAGACTCTCTATTACTGCAATCAGTAATCTCTAGCCAAATACTAACACTGTATACACTAATACAAGCAGAACGGACCAAAGCACTGCCCACCGATTTACATAGATAGTTTCTGAGTAACTTTGTTTATTTCAAAGGATCCTTTCTAACTCTCACACGTTCACCATTGAAGTGGACATACTTCCATTTACCTTGAGACTTGTTGAGGACTCGTATCTTTTTCTCTGTTTGACCTAATTCATCGAATGCTCGTGCGATTCTAATCAAAGTATCTTGGTCTGGTTTCACCTCCAACTGTTCCATGTCAGCGAATACCTGATTACAGTATCAAATAAGCATCTATAAGGTTAGGATCACAAAGAAAAGAAGAATCCTCTCTTGAACCCAAAGTGGAATTAGGGAGCCAATGACAAACAGAAAGAGAGAGGGAAAAGGAACACCAGAAGTCACCTCTATAACCTTCTCTGGCATTTTGTGATCATATAAGGATATCATCCTACAAAACAGTCTCTTTGATGTAAAACGCATATGTGTTCGTAATAACATATCCCACAGCATTTCTGCTTCATCAGCCCTGCAATCCTTGTCAAATGCCAACAGAAGGGAATCATAAGTCTCTAATGTTGCACCTTGGCCTTTGCTGAGCATCCACTTGGCCACCTGCGGATTGCAAATTTGATTATAAGATTCTTGGAAGAGGAGATCAATATACAGAAGAGTTATAATCTTTACTCAATAGTACAGTTAAACAAATCTATCACCGCCACCATAAGAATTTCGACAGTTGACAGGAGGTGCAGGTTATCATCAACAGGCACCAACGGCATAAAGGGAAATAAGGAATCAGTTAACAATATTGGTGCATTCTGCTTGAACCAACCAAGAATACATCCCAGCATTTTGGAAACGCCTGCTTGACACTTTTGTTTCAGATCCCGGAGTTTGACGTTTTCATTTAAGAGACATGGCTTCCAATCCCCACCATCAAGGTTTCACTAGAACTGCAGTTCGATGATTCAACCCAAAGAGACAATTGATGATGGCTTCAAAACTTAATTGACATAACTGCTTAATGTTGCCATTTTGAAAGAAAACCATCAATCACATGCAAATGATTTACATGACTTTTTCTTCCTGTGTAAAAATTACACACTACACACATATACATCTATATTATACCCTAAACCCCATATGCATGCATTGATGTAAACATATATAAACCAAATACAACAAGAATCAATCTTAGAATTCCATAGATGATTTCAGCAGCCATAAGTTCACAATCAGAGTACACATTCACATATATATAACCACAAAAGAAATGTAAAACCTATTCAAGCTGCATACTTGAACTACTCGTGTCCACTGACCCCTTTTTCTTAAAATTCTTAGAGCTTTAGCTGCAGCAATCAATGGAAATTCAGTTTCCCAAGCTATCCATTTATCTAATGCAACGTATACAGCCTCCTTTTCATTTGGAAGTCCAGAGATCTGCGCCATTGAAGGTTTTTTCTTAGACAAGGCAGTGTAAAGACATAGCAAGTGATCCAGCAGAAGAAAATATCGGTTAATAACCATCACAACTCTTCGTCCTTTATTTTTTAATCAAAGAATAAAATCTTTGGAGAAAAAAGGGATCCAAAAGTAATAATAAACGTAAAAAATACAATGCGAACAAGATTTAGTGCTTTCAGCCCAGACATAGCTGAATCTCTTTTCTGCCACAAGTGGTGTTCTTTCGTTCCCTTCTTCTTTATCACCATCCCAGATTTCATATCGAAGAAGATAGAAACACCTTCAAATATCAAATATCCATTACATCCAGTTAGAGAGGCACTCACACCTAATCCGAAAAGGTGATTAGAAAGAGGTAATACTATTGTATATCCAAATTATGAAGAAGTCCAACTAACGATGCAACAAGTTTAGAATTAAAGGTTTCACCTACTTTTCGTTGGATCTGAGCTCTGAAGCATTGCCATTGAAGGTTGTATCGCTAATATAATCTATTCTCCTAACGTAATAAGGCAAGCAAAATTATCAAAATAAAGCCCAAGAAATTCAAGCAGAAAATGAGTAAACGACGATAATTCGTTAGTTTATCTAACCTTTTCAGCATAAGTGAAAAGCTTGTAACTTTCTGCACGGATGGAACCCCAAACTTGAAGCTGCTGACCTTCACACCAGGGTCCATTCTAAAACTTTAGACTAGAAAAGTAGAAACAAAAACGCAAACAAGTCACCAGCCATAAAAGGCAATAGGTGCCTGCAAAAAGAGTATGCTTACCTGTGGCTGCCCAGCTGATATAAACTGAAGAGTAACTTTCACTGTATTAAAGTAAGAAACCAACATTGTTCGGCTATTCAAATAGCGAACAGATGGACTATGTACATTAGAATGGAACCGGAAGGAGAGAGCCTATATCTGTCTATAATCTTAATATCATATCGGCAACGGGGAAGAGTAGCCTGTGGGGAGAGAAATACATGCACTGTTGATTTCAGGAAACAAAAAGAAACTCTATCTTTTGCAGCTTTTAATACATTCCTCAGTAAATCACATAATTTGGTCACATCAATTGGCCATTTCCAGTGTTGAACAAAAGACTAAACAGTGTACGGATGGCAATATATCCCTCAAATTCTTAGTACATTACAAAATTCACTACCATAGTTATCTAATTCAGAGATAAAACACAAGAAAACTACTGCAATTGGATATAAATTTAACATCTTCCACAAAGTAATCTTTTTCCATCTCACAATCAAATATGAATCACAGACAAAAAAAAAAAAAAAAAGCTCAGAAGGGATACCCAAAAACAGAGCCCTTAACTTATGCAAACCATTACGGGGGTAGGCAGAGTCAGTAAACCAACAAAAGAAAAATGAAACCTGAATACAAACTGTAACGTGGGCAAACGATCAAACCAATTGACATAGTATGCAAATTATCAGGAGATAGATGGATACTCTCGATACTCAAGTGTAGTTGTCAATCTTAATATCATGTTTACTTGTGTTATTCTGAATGTACTTTGAATTCACAAAGCAGAGGTTCGACATAGTATGCAAATTATCAATCCAATTGATATCGTAGATATGGCTTTACAATTTGGTTTGTTCATTCTCTGGCCTTTCTTTATTTTTTTTATGATAAGAGATTTAGCTATTTTTCCGAGTGATAACTCATGTGTAGCAATTGATGACTGTTTAACCGTTTTAGACAGCTAAATATTTACACAGATTAGACTTCGATTCATACTTTCATTACAGGACATATCAGTGATACCTTCCTAAATGAAAGTGAATCTGCAAGTTTGCAACTTTCATGAACAATAGAATCCATTCTTCCTTATCCTAAATTTGTTGGCAGTCGAATCACACAGATGTAGTTCCTACTGGCAAGCTTTTCATTTTCTTTATTCCGTTTCTAGTTCTTCATTTTTTTTAAAAAAAAATTTTGATCATATAATGTTTGCTAAGAAGTAGGAACCAAATTACTGTAAAAAAGAAATGAACCATTTTGATTATAGATTTGATTAGACTGGTTACAATGAATAAAGTAGTTTATGCTGCATCATCCCAGCCATGTCTTGCTGAAACATATTATCTCTGCACCACTTCTGACTAGCTTCCTACGGTCTGAAATCATTTTTGTATATGTCTGCAATATGAGTTCTGAATCATATTCAAACCTTTAAACATTTATAGTTTCTTTTCGAAGGTTTAACATTTGATCGTCCTCTTTCCAAATAGTCCAATCTACAATTAGCTACACATTCCTGAACACAGCTTACGGTCAAACTGGCTGAAAACAGAAAAAAGTTCCTCAAATTTGTCGAGCCCAATGTATATGCAGAAGAACAAATTTTGGTAATTAGAGGTTAAAATAGATTATGTTAATTAATTTGCAAATGTTGTTTGCTAAAGAAAAAGAAGAGCTACATTATCCTAATGAACTCCTAATGATGTAAATGCAAACATGTCATTTCCATCATATTCACAACACGTTTTTGATCAAAGCAAAAATCCAATTTCTTCGCCATCAAAACCAGTGTAAAGCATCTTTGTTTTCAAAAGTTCCTCAAATTTGCCAGAGCCTGATGTATATGCAGAAGAACAAACTTTGGCACTTAGAGGCCTGTGCACTTGAATGTTGTCATATGACTATGAGATGCATACGCGGGGAAAACATGGGTTGTTAAAAAAGATTATCTTAATTAATTTGCAATATTTTTGCTAAAGATAAAGAATAGCTACATTATCCTAATGAACTCCTAATGATGTAAATGCAAAGATATCAGGAAAAGTGGTTCAATTTAAGATCATATGTGTATAACGGAATTTTTGAGTATTGTCACAGGGAACTGAGCAAAAACCGAACTACTTTGGCCAACTGGCAACCTCCCTCATTGAAAGATAAATTCAAAGCCAGAAACTCCCTTTAAAAATCCCAATCAGTCCACATTGATATGAACAACGCGTGAATGTCCCACCGGTCAAATTATTAAGAGCATAAAAACCATTAATAATGAATCCAAAATCCAAAAACCATTCATTTTTATAACATAACACTTTTTGTAGCATAATATCGAACACGTGGAACACACTAAACGTGCATTCGAAATTGGATTTGTTGCCAAATTTTTCAGCCAGGCACAAAACTACGCAAAGGTATTTTTACACGGAAGAAGCAAAACTATGTATAAAGTTGAAGTGTAATACTGCAGTTCCCACACACCTTACCTCCTCTGCCCAATAATTGTCATTTTTTTACTCACAGTCACAAAACATGCAAGTCCCGTTAGCAGAACAAGCAATGGTTATTTTGGCACCTTCCCAACATCGAAACACAAATTCAAAGCAGTGGCAAAACCCCTTTAAAATTTCCAATGAGTCCAAATTGATATGAGCCATCGGAGAACATCCCGTTGATCAAAGTATTAAGAATATAAAACCCATTAACAACTAATCCTATATTACCGTTTAAAAAATAAAAAAAAAATTAAAAAAATCCCTATATCGAACACTTTCAACACACTAAACATACACATTCAAGATTGGATTTGTTGTCAATTTTGTGGCCAAACAAAAAACCAGACATAGGTCTTTTTCACACGGAGAAAAAAATCTAAGAGTAACAAGAGCTAACCTTTACTTTGGCACCAGGAAAATTGGCTTTGCTATCGCGGTCTTCAGATTGGGGAAACAACACTGAACTAAAATTTGAAAGGAATGGAAGAATTTATTTGACGAGAAAATACAACTGGCAACCGAAGGAGAAGGTCAGGTTCGAAAAAAAGAAAGGCCAAATGGAGAAAAAGAGGGTCCAATCACACGCCGCCACGTCAGTGCTTACCACCTGCAACGTACCGAAAAAGTGCTTCCGCGCTTTATTATATATGTAGAGAAGATTTGTACAGATTTTGATTATCCTAAAACAGGAAGAACAGAACAGAAGAGCGAATTGCATCTTTCTTTGGAGCTTAAAGTTGGCTGTGATAATGGAAGCTACTAAATCTTGTTTACCATCGCCATTTCCATCTATTTCTTCCCAACAATCCCTTTTCTCCTGGTAAATCTTGCTTCTTAACCATACACTGAACTGGAGTTTTAACTTAGCTCAATTCAAGTATAAACTATCTCAATTTTGTCTATATTTGTGGGGAAAATTTCTTTGCTGCTGGCTTTTGTTTTTCCTCGGTCTGAGATTTTGGTACGAGAGAGCTAATTTGGGTAATTGGGTTAGTGGTTATTTGTGCATATGTGCTGTAGCAAGAAAATTGCTGCAAGTTTCTCGATCTTTTATGTACTTCAATGCTTCGTTTATGCTGGTAACTGAGACTAAATGTTACTTGTGCTTTTTAGAGTTGCAATATTTTTTTTCCAGTTACTCGTAAGAGTTAGATATTTGTTATCTTTATGAGAAGGACAATAAAAGAATAGGTTCATTGGATGTTGCTCATTTGAGAAATGATCTCTTGTAGGAGGAGAAATGGAGGTTTGAGAGTTACCCGAGCAAAATTGTCAGAACCAAATGCGAGGAGAGCAAACCTTTCTGCCAAAAAGAAAGAAAGAATATTGGTGCCAAGTTATAGCAAGATTGGCAGGGGCAACATGGTGTTCCATATTAGTGAATTTCTCAATCATCCCTCGGGTATTGAAGCAGTGCTGAATACAAGGGCTTTGCATAGTATTGAATCCCTAGATTGCAATCTGTACAGGTATTTCTTTTTGTTGTTGGCTGCTAGTGCTGTTCCATTATATGATGAACAGGTGGAAGTGTGTTTCACCAGCTACCAGTTCATCTTGCACAAAATCATCGACCCTATTCTTAAATTCTTTAGGAACGAAGATTAAATGTGTAGCTGTTTAGTTAACCAAACATTCAAAATGGCCTGAGCACTTGCATGAAATTTGTTTTCTTTAGTCTTGAAATGAACATGACTGTAGACTGTAAAAAATGAATATGACTGTCTTGAAAAGTGACTGTTGACTGGTTCAGCACTAGCGATTGAGCTGCCAATATCCATTTTTTATTTGCCTAGCAAGGATTTTGTATGCCATTCATTGCTTGTAATAATGCATAGAAGTCCTTAAAAAGAAATGTTTCTTCTTCTTATAGGTGTGTTCTACCACAAATTCAGCTTCTGAACTTTGAAGTAGCCCCTGTTTTGGACTTACAAGTGACATCAACTAAAGAAGATTGTACCGTTGAGATGTTGTCTTGCAAGGTATTGCAACTAAAAATGTGCATCAGTCTACCAAAAATATTTGCATAAATGTCTGTCTTAAATCATTGGGAAAATGTTCATCAAATTGCATATGAAGAAGTCTTTTCCGGGAAAGAATAAACAGAAATTGAAGGAAAACATCCTTCTATAGTCCATTTCTTGATTGAAGATATTTAGCCAAATCCTTAGAAACTTAAAGTTAAGCTGAATGTCACATTTGTTTCACAAAATTGCACATGAAGAAGTCTTTTCCAGGAAAGAATAAAAAGAAAATGATAGAAGAAATCGTTCTATATTCTCTTTCTTATAGGAGATATTTAAAGCATTTGAAACCTAAAGTTTAATGTGACATTTGTTTCACCAAGTTGCATATGAAAGAAGAAATCCTTATATTCTCTTTCTTATTAGCTAAACTCTTTGAAACCTAAAGTAAGGCTGAATATGAGATTTTTTACGTATTGATCATTATAACAAAGAATTTTTGTATGAGACTGAAGAAGAAACTGAATAAATGACATACAATGTTTCCAGTTATGACATGCATTGTCTGTTCTAACTTGTAATTTCATTATAATCCATATATTCTCTTTCTTATTAGCTGAACTCTTTGAAACCTAAAGTAAGGGTGAATATGAGATCTTTTATGTATTGATTATTATAACAAAGAATTTTTGTGTCAGACTGAAGATGAAACTGAATACATGACATGCAATGTTTCCAGTTATGACACGCATTTTCTGTTCTAACTTGTAGTTTCATTGCTTTTGAACTGAGCAGGGAGGTTATTACATCAGTAATAAGTTAGGTCTTCATAACTTTGCAAGTTTACTGACTATCTTCAATAAAACTTAAAGTAAATGCAAGGCATATGTCTTAAGTTTGCTAGGGTGCCACTTTTTTAATCGAGGAGAATTATGTTTACTCAGGTCATGATCTAGGTTGTCAGGTTAAGTAACAATACCATCTGCTCAATCACTAGACCCCAGTGATCTCTGATTTTCTGATTTGCAAGAAGCAAGTGTAATTTCAACTGAAATTGTCAAAACTTAATTGGCAAAAGAAAGGCTTCATTTCGAAAGGTTCCCTGTCACTAGACAATTTCATTAGAAGAGCAAATTAGGTTACTGTAAGTCTTATGTTTATTTTCAACCATGTAATGTGAATACAGTTGTTGTAATGTGTTTTTTGTTCAAATATCAAATTTAACATTATTTTTACCGCACATTGCAGTTTGAGGGATCAGAACTTATGGAGAATCAGAATGACCGCTTTGCAGGTATTTCAGTGAAACTAATCGCTGTCCTTATTATAGAAGTAAAATGATGTGTGACACAGATGGATTAAAACAGTAACATGTGGACTGCCACTTGGGGAACCACATTTTTTTCTATTGGAGCAAAATGATATTAGATGTTTAATTGGTGTATTAAAAATCAGTCTTATTCACTTTTGAATTCAGTATTTTCTTAATCAATTTGAACTTTAAATACGTTGTTATTTACACTGAAGTCTCTTACTTGAGTCAAAGTTGGTTTTGCTTAATGCAATGATGGTAATTAGCTTCACAGTTTCTGTCTTCTATTTTATAATAGGGACATGATTTTCCAACGTTGCCTTGCAGCATTCACTAATAGGATTTAGGAAGTTTGATCAGCCTGTATCAACTGAAAGGAATTTGTTCCTATATAGCTGAGTATTTTCAGTAGAAAATGCTGTCGATTGAGTTGAATTTATCTTTGTTTTAAAAAATTTGATTGCACAGGCATCTGAAAGCTATACGGTCGTTATGTACCGAAAAAAAAGGAGAAAGAAGCTATACAGTCGTTCTTAAAAATTTTCCATAGTACCATGTGGGCACATAAAAAATAGTCCTGTATCATGTCTTAGAAATGTGGCTTTTAGATCAATGATAGCCAAATCCTAGAGAGATCGGATCTCAGATGTCTTTAAAGATAATAGTATTCAAAGTTTAAGATTTTCTGGTTTAGCAGTCCCTATTTTCAGTAAATGTAAATGGTCATTTGTTTTTTTCTTTCTGCATGTACAGCATCTATGAGGAACCACATAACGTGGGCAACTATTGATTCTGAATCCTTTCTGGATGTTGACGTGAAGTTAAATATTACTCTCGAAGTGAGTTCCTGTTAACTGTAACATGTTCTTGGTTGTGACTTACTCATGACATGGATACAGAGATTTTGTTTGGGCAGATTGAACTATAGCTAAGAGTGACTCATGTCTTATTTTAAGAATAGGCAGCAGTAAATATGGACTTTCGTACTCTATTGAGGCATGCTTAGGAGGTATTTCATTTGTGAACTGAATAAGCATTTGTGTATTTCCATTTTGCGTGAAGATATTTGGAAAGAGAAGTCTTTAGTGATAGTATGATGTTCAAATGATAAATCCTATGCTCTCTGCCTGAATTTTGTCACTCTGGAGTGCAAACCCCTTTCAATGATTCGTGCACAAGCACTCGGGCTCATGGATATTAGCAAGTACTGATTTCTCCTGTGGTATTGTTTTTTGAAGGTATCTTGTGATGATTGTAAAATTTGTTGACTGCATTTGATTAGTATAGCTACTGCATCAGTGAATGGATGATGAAAGTTTTCCATTCAAAATGTTTAGGGCTTTATCTTGTCCTCTCTTTTTACTAGTGCATAACTTATTAATCTTCTAAAATTTCAGTCATAGTTCTTGACGTTTGTTTTCAAGTTACTGGCTTAAACTTGTTGCATGTTTTTGTTGGTGGTTTGTTTCTTCTATTTTGTCCAGATATGTTTCTCTTCTTGCGTCTTTTCACTACCAGTTGATTTTTTTGTCGGCAGATCTATACGTACCCATTCACTTTTCTTCCAGAATCTGCTGTTGAAGGACCAGGCAATTTGTAAGTATTTGAAATAAACTTCTTGGTGCTAAATTCAAGTAAATTTGTGTTTGGACCAGATGCAGTTAAGTTGTGTATGGTTTGGTTGAGGATTCACCTTGCAGAACAAACTAGTGCAACTCACGTTAACTGAATCTCTAATGTTTAATGATAGGAAAGTCCAGTAAAGAATTGTCAAAAATATCTTCTCGAGACTCAGACTACTACTGTTCTGAGCATCACACGGTTAAGGTGTTTCTGTCTAAATGTAATACGCTGCCTGCTCTGTGCTTCATGAGTTGAGATTTTCCCTCATCCAAATACCAAGTTCTATGGGGAGGAACATTCTAGTCACTTGGTTTCCCTCATCTTTTTAAGCAGATGTGCGGGCATTGATGAATATGACCTTGAAGGTCGTCTCCTAGATAAGATTACAACAGGATGCTGGATAATGCAAAAGATCTGGTCATGAGGAAAGGGAGAATCCTCTTTCGAAAAGTATACAGAACTATTTGTTATTTGCACGCATTCAAGCCTAGTATATCTTTGAATGGTGTTTGCATTTAGCTTTCAAAATCGAACAGATGGAGCAAAAAAAGAGACATAAATTCAAAGATTCATCCTTCAAAGACAGAACAAAGAAGAAAAAGTTAAATCAGATGATAATAAGGGGTTAAGTTCTGCATAAGAAAGAGAGTTGCATTAGGTTGACAACTAACATAGAACTTTATCTTACCCCATACTATTGATCACATAAAATAGCTAAGATAGGAGCTCGGCCGACTAAAGTGTCTTATGAGAAATTACTACGAACGTATGATTGTCCATCTGAAGGGTTCAGTCTTTGTAGTTTGTTAAGGATATGTTCAAAATTTTTCAACCTGAAGGATTTCTTGTTTGCTTATCTAGTCATTTTTACTGTTCCTTCTAGTCCTGGTGTGTTGCTATAAAAAAATTTCTGATTAGGTTTTGCTCTATGTCTTAAGGCATTACGTTAAGCTCAATATGTGCAATGTACTTATTTAACATTTTCTCCTAAACTCTTGCTCCTTAAGTGATGTTTGTTTTTCGAAAATAGTCAGCAAAATGGACTCTTAACTTGAGAGGGAACAACACCCACCCCCCCCCCCCTCCCCCACCCCTCTTTGTTTAAAAAAAATCCACCCCAGTGGACTCGACTTAGGATAAAATCCCTTCGTGGGAATTGAACCCGGGTCTACTCCTAGAATACACAGCACCCTAACTAAACTGTTATTCAATTCCCCCGAGGGAACCCCTCTTGTTTATCAAACTAACATTGAATCATATACATGATTGAAGGATGATGCAAGCTCTGGTGGACCGACTTGTACCACTTCATGTACAGCAATTGCTATCAGATTACGATAAGTGGGTTCGTAAGCAATTGGAAGCCTTGCAATGATAAGCTGTTCTCAGAATACACAGCAGAGTTCATGTTTAACAAAAACTTTGAGGTTTATAAAATTTTCAATTTATGTGCTCGAAATTTTTTTCTTCTGTATCCAAGTCCTGATTCTCTGCCATTGATGGTTCTTCCATAGCTGACATATAAATGTGCTTAAAAGAAATTTCTTTGCTTTTTGGTGTAAAATAATGTACAGAAGGAATTCACTTTTCTTTACTACGTAAAACTTTTTTACGTTGAGAGTAAATTGACTTTATTCTTCGCTGTTCTGTTATTGATATGTTTATTTTTGATGGAGAAGGCGGCTTTTGAGTGAGAAAAATTGACCTTGATATGCTAGGCCAGCTGGAAACTGACAGTGGCAGTTTTAGTGCCTAAGAAATTTGGTATACAATACTTTATCCTTCATATGCCTTCGATACCTTCTGTTTTGCCTTCATCGAGGTGGGACATTAGGAATGACCATCAGTTTTAGCGTGAAGCTTGGTGCGTGTTTTCAATGAATCCTTTATTGTGCAGAATCTGCCTATAGTTGTTAGTGATGATAAGATAGTTACAATTGAGTGACTACTTTTCTTAGCCGCAATTGTGCCACTAATTTATTGGTTGTTAATTAGATAATAACAAATACTGTATAAAATTTAGTAATTGAATTACTCTCGTAAGGTGTTGTGAGAAGTAGCTGTCTGTTATCATCCACAAATTTGTAGCTATTTCTATTTGTAGCAACCATATCTTTCTTCTTTGCACATTCCAGGTATCTTTAGTTTTTCTTAGGAGAACCGGCGGACATCGAGGTTCTTATGAAATCTGGCGGATATTGGGTACACCTGATTGTCTTGGCACTTCCTCGTGATAGCTGTATAATGCACTGTCGAATTTTGTGATTCAAGGCGAACTGGTGTCCCTTCCATGAGCAATGAGCAATCTGTCCATCTGAAGTTGGAGGAGATCAATGATCTTGAGATAACAGGCATGCAAAAGATCAGATAAATCATCGCATATGGTGTACAACTGTATATATAGTGTCGAAGTTCTGAAAATGATCGTTTATGATAGTCAACAGGAATTGTCTAGAATCAAACTTGGACTCTCTGTGTCTGCTCTCCTCCTCTATTACAAAGAATAATGCATGGGAAGGAAAAAAGGGAAATTAATGAAATCATAGACAATCCTTCTGGCATTGATCAAACAATAAAATAAAATTATAAATTTCTTTAATAGATAATCAAATATCTGATAATAATTTTGATGATTTTATAGTATGTCTAGTGAATCACAGATAGGAAATCTGAATGTGCATAAAAAGTAATCAATATGATTCAATCAAGCAAATGGATTCAAATAAAAAAGAAAAGGAGTTAATATTTGATATTATTAAAAAACTTTCACCCACTGAACAACTAGCAAAAGATTGAATAGTATCAGAACAAATTAATACAGTTTAGTCTAGTTCAACCATTTAGTATTTTCAAAATGTTTGAAAAGGATCCTAACATGTCATCAAATATAGAATCTACTGCCATAAAAGAATTAGAAAAAAAAATTAGTTAAAGAGTCAAATTAAGTCTTTTACTAGAGAAAGTTTTACAAGTTGGAAAAGAAAAAACAAATTTAGTATTAGAAACTCAAGTTTATATAAAGGGAAAAAAAAAATTAATAGAGGGATATGAAGAGGCGAATAAAGCTGAGAATGGGGCACACCAAGAAAATGCAGCAACCCTTTTAACCACTTCGACTCACAAATTGTGGAAGCCATAGAACGATAGTCTGCTTCAGCAGACGAACGGGCAACAGTTTGTTGTTTCTTGGTCTTCTAAGAGATAGGAGATTGGTCTAATTGCACGAACCAACCAATAAGAGACCGACGAGTCAAAAGACAACTAGCCTAGTCAGAATCACACCATCCAGACAACTGAAGATTAGAATCAGCTCGTAAAAGAATTCCTTGACCAGGATTACCCTTCAGATAGCGAACAACCCGGAGGGCAGCATCCCAATGAGCCTGAAGAGGCTATATAAACTGAGCAAGATAAATCAAACGACCCACAAGGCGCCTATAACTTTCCGGATTAGGAAGAGGATGCTCAGTAACCAAAGTAAGCTGATGATTCTGCTCTAACGGAAATCCAGCAGGTTTCGCACCCAAAAGACCCACTTCAGAAATAATGTCCAAAGTGTACTTACGCTGACAAAGAAAAATGCCAGAAGAATTACGAGCCACCTCGATGCCTAAAAAATATTTAAGAACACCAAGGTCTTTCATGTGAAAATGACTCCTCAAATAATCCTTAAAGAAGGAAATAGCGGTGCTATCATTGCCAGAAAGAATGAGACCATCCACATAAACCAAGACATTAAGTTGCACGAGACCACGATGGAAGTAAAAAAGTGAATAATCAGAAGTAGACTGCTGAAAACTATACCGGCATAGGGCATTTGCCAGTTTGGCAAACCAGCAACGAGGAGTCTGCCGGTGACCATTGAGAGAGCGACGAAGACGACAAACACTGCCAGGAACAGGAGATGAAAAACCAGGCACTAAATTCATGTAAACCTCCTCAACAAGGTTGCCATGCAAGAAAGCATGGTGAACATCCATCTGATGAAGTTTCCAACATTTTGCTGCCGCAATAGTAAGTAAGGTGCGGACAGTTACCATATTTGCAACTGGAGCAAAAGTCTCATTATAATCAAGGCCTTCAACCTTATTGTTGCCTAAGATGACCGAACGGGCTTCGTAGCACTCAACAGAGCCGTGCGAGTGATACTTGATTTTAAACACCCATTTACACCCAATAGCACGTTTCCCAGGCGGAAGAGAGTCAATGGTCCAAGTACCATTCAATTCCAAAGCCTGAATCTTCTGTTGCATAGCATCTCGCCATCGAGCATCTTTAACGGTCTCCGAAAAAGTGCGAGGTTCAACCCCTGCTTATACTTGCCAGAAATTCTCGATGTGAAGAAGAAAAAGACTGATTATACTTGCCAGAAATTCTCGATGTGAAGAAGAAAAAGAATCACATGTAACATAGTTATGAATGGGGTAAGACACACATGAGGAAACTGATGAAGAAGATGAGCTAGGAGAGGGGCTTAAAGGAGAGACAGTATGACCGATAAAATCATTCAACTGAGTGGAGCGATATTTAGTGCAACGCCCACGACCCAGAAGTTCTTCCTGTTGCTAAGAAGAAGGCAGACCCTCATTGTCTGACGGGGGATCAGAAGATGAAACATGCAATACAGTATCAGCGGAAGGTGATGAATAAGACACAAGAATCCAGAGAGGGATCAGAAAGAAAATCATCATCATCAAGAAGAGGAGAAGATTCAATAACTGGAGATATGTCAACAGCCAAGGTCGTGGTTACATAGGGAAACTCAGATTCAAAAAAAACCACATCTCGAGAAGCAAAGAAATCACCAGTTTCCAAATCATATACCTGCCAACCTTTCTTTCCAAAAGGATACCCAACAAACAAACATTTCCTACTCCGACTAGAAAATTTATCATCATGTCGATCCTGGTTTTGCACATAACAGAGGCATCCAAAAACACATAAATAGGAAAGAGACGGCGTACGACCATACAAAATTTCAGTGGATGTCTTTCCATGTAAAATACTAGAAGGAGTGTGATTAATTAAATAACTGGCTGCTAAAACACATTTACCCCATTGATGGGTAATTGAGCCTGGAAACACAAAGCACGAGCTACATTTAAAATATGTCTGTGTTTGTGCTCCACATGACCATTTTGCTGGAGAGTACCCACACACGAAGTTTGATGCAATATTCCATTTTCCTGAAAATAATCACTCATACAAAGAAATCCAGTACCATTATCACTACGAACATGTTTGACCGATTTCTTAAAATGTCGCTCGACCATGACAAGTAAATCTAGGTAGCTCGTGAAAAATCATCAACAATGGTCAAAAAATATCTAGCACCCGAAAAAAGAGAAACCCGATAAGGACCCCACAAATCACAGTGAATTAACTGAAACACCTCAAAAGTTTGAGTAGTGCTAATAGGAAAAGAAGTTCGAGACTGTTTGGCCCGAAAGCACACATCACGGGCTTTATTAAACAAACTACTATCCTTGGAAGAACCCACAGAAGGAAGCAACACTAGCACCTTAGAAGACGGATGCCCGAGACGCTGATGCCAAAGATCAAACGACACATCTCGGAAAAATAAAACCCCTCCTGTTGCTCATCCGCTCCAATCAGCATCCTCGAAGTGAGGTCCTGTATAAAACAAACACCAGAAGTAAAATGAGTAATAGAGACAATATCTTTTAGTAATTGAGAGACCAAAATCAAATAACACTTCAAACAAGGCACATAAAGCACGTTGTGTATTGTCACTCGACTACTAAGCACCACAGTTCTCGCTTTAGTGGCAAAAGTAAGTTGACCATTGGGAAGTTGAACCGGAACACCAACAATGTCGCGAACAATTTCAAAAATATTCAAGAAGACCTGTCATATGACGAGTGACACCCGAATTGTACGTCGGGTTGAAAGAAATACGCTTACCGATAATTTTGTAACCGAACCCGGTTTAGCCGAATTTAATAGTGAAAGAAGAGTATTCCACTGGTCTTGATTAAGACCTGTAACAGCAGCAGCACCGGCGCTTGAATCAGATGCGGGAGAGGGAACAAAACCGGCACCAAAACCTCCACCACTTCCAGGAGCTTGACCACCAGTGTCGCGCCCGCGTCCACGCCCAGCACCACGCCCCCGCGGAGACCAACCCTCTGGATAGCCGATCAATTTGTAACAAGACAGGATCTCGTGGCCGGACGATTACAGTGAGAGCAGAACAACGGTTGATCGCTGGAACTGCCCTGGTTCTTGCTGTCGCCGCGTTCCTTGGATTTCTGACCAGCAGAAGCAGCAAACGCTGCCACATCACCACTGGATGCCACCGGAGGAAGTGAACCATCTGAAACCTGGACAACAAAACTCATCGTCTATGCCGGAATTTCTTTGGACTGAAAAATTAACCGTATTCGTTCCTCTAGCACGATCGTGGAGTACACCTTCTTCAGCTGCGGAAATGGATCCTGGGCAAACAGATTGGATCGCACTGTGCCGTAAATGTTGTCGTCCAGCCCCAAGAGGAATTGATGAATCTTTTCCTCCTCCACTTTCTTCTCGGTAGTCGCAGCAAGGTTACAAGTGCAGCGGCCGCAAGAACACACCGGAGCAGCATCGTATGAGGCGAGTTCATCCCATATTTTCTTCAGACGGCCATAGTAAGCCGTAATTGAGATGCCTTTCTGTCGACGATTGGCCAAATCAGCCTTCAATTGCTGAATCCTCGGCCCATTCACAAGCGACAGTGAGTCTCGGATATCGATCCATAAATCGCGAGCTACCTCACTGTGAGAAATTGTAGATCGAAACGAAGGCTCAATCGAATTTATGATCCACAACACAAGCAACGAATTGATGGTCCACCAATCTTCGGAATCAGGAGACGTCTCTGCACGCTGAGGAATGGAGCCGTCAATAAATCTGAATTTTTTCTGGGCACGCAAGGCGGTCCGGACTGCTTTGGCTTCATCGTTGCTCTCGCCACGAAATTGAACTTGATTGATGGAAGCCCCAGGATAGTCGTTAGCAGTGAGGTCGTACGGCGAAATCGTCCGGTGCCGCACAACATTGTCATCGCCATCAACAGTACGTGAAGATTGAGGAGTTTGAACTCCGTCAGTTTGCACCATGATGAATCAAATCGCGAATGAAAGAAGGCAACAGGAAGAATCAAATTGTGCCTGCGATTGATGCCATGAAAGAAGACGAAAGAAGATTCAGAAAATTTTAATTGCCGGCTTTTGTTTGCTGATTAGGGTTTTATAAAAATGATACAACAACAACCGGGGTGATCTTCTCCATAATTTCTGGAAATTTAAACCTAAATATGGTAACTATTATCTTTACATTTATTTACATACATATATACCACATATATATCCATAATATTAATACTCCTAAGTTTTCATTATCTGAAATTTCTATTTCCGAAGTGAAACCTAGTAAAGCCTACTGAAATTGAATTCATTTCTGTTATAAAAATATCATAAATAAAGTGAAAAGACGAAAGTATAAGATTAGGGAGAACATGAGAAGGATATATCTCTTCTATTGATTTATTTTTTGGGCAATGTTTATCTTTCTTTTTTTTTTTATAACAAATGAACTTCATTAACTTGCTGTAAGTGCGTCCAGCACGCATTGAGGTACCAATGGGGGCACAATGCCCCAATATTTTTCAAAATTATTGTCACGCTTTGCCCATTGGGCCAGGGAGTGAGCAAAAACATTGAAGCAACGGCTACTCCAATGACTGTCAAAACTAAGAAAATCGTCAAAGTGAGCTTTAATATCAGCCAGAATGTATTCCCAATCTGATAAATCTGCTATGTCCGAGTCTAAGCCTTGAATTATGGTTGAGGAGTCACCCACCAGTGTTATTTGAGTGAGGCCTAGTGTTAGAGCAAAGGCGATTCCTTCCCTAGTAGCTAGGCTTTCTATAACTGGTGAGGTGTACAAACCTAAAGTCCCCTTGCAAGACATTTTTGGAATCCAGTGGTGGTGTTCCATATTAGAATTCTTATTTCAGAGGAATTATTACTCGCGTTTGTTGCACCATCAAAGAAGACCAGGGTGCCATTTAGATTGACCAAGGTGTTTAGGGGGATCTTTTGTGCTGGTGGTTTGATGTGAGCGAAGGAGGTAGTCGATTCCCATATCTCCAGCATGTTGACCGTTGCATGATGTATATCTTTTTCCATTCTCTTGCGACCTTCAAAAATGAAGGTGTTCCTTGTTTGCCACAAATTGTAAGCTCCAAGGACGAACTTTAGTTTATTAACTCTAGACAGTTTAGACAGCAAGTCCGTTGTCCAAACTATCTGCAGAAGGTTGCTTCATGCTGTAGATGGGTTGATCAATTTGCAGCTCTTTCCACACAGCGATGGCTAGGCTGCACTCGAAAAGCGTATGGGTGGTGGTCTCCGCAGAGGCGCATATATAGCACGCATGGTCTATGGGGACTCTCTTGAGAAGCAGGTTGTCTTTGGTTGCTAGAGTGCTTGTGAGAAATCTCCAGATGAAGTGCTTCACTTTTGGCATAACATTTGGGCTCCAAAGGTTCCGCCATAAGGAGATTAATTCAGATGGATCAGAGGCGCCGAGTATTTCATTTGTTTGGAAGCCTGGATGTGTGAGGAGCACCTTATAGGCCGAGGATTCAGTGTATTTTCCATGCTTTGTGTAGTGCCAGATCTAACGGTCCGGTGGTGAATCCCAACTGAGGGGGATGCTTTCGATCGTCTCTGCTTCATCAGGCCAAAAGATTTGTTGGAGTAACTCTATTTTCCAGTTGTGTGTTTCTTCATCGATGAGGTTGCTAACTGTTGTGGATGGGAGGGCAATCGACTTTGGCGACAGCACTTTGAAGAAAAATGGTCAAGGGAACCAGGGATCCTCCCAAATGTCTATCGTTGTGCCATTTCCAACTCTCTTGCGAATGCTTGTGAGTAGCACATTTCGACCTTCTAGGATTGACCTCCAATTGAAAGATGGTTTGTCCTGCAATGGCATTCAAGAAATTATTATTAGGAAAATATTTATCTTTGAGGACTTGTAAAAACAACAATCTGAGGTTAACAAGTAGTCTCCAAGCTTGTTTTCCAAGGAGGGAGAGATTGAAAAGTTTCATGTTCTTGAAACCTAGACCTCCCATATCCTTTGGCTTTGAAAGTGAAGACCAGTTGCGCCAATGGATTTTCCTCTTTGAGTTTGAGTCGCCCCACTAAAAGTTTGCCATAATAGAGTGTAATTCGTCACATGTTGTATCTGGGATTTTGAAGCAGCTCATAGCATATGTGGGGATGGCTTGGGCGACTGATTTGATTAAGATTTCTTTTCCGGCTTGTGAGAGAAACTTTTCGGACCAACCTTCAATTTTGATCCTCATTCGGTCCTTCAAGTTGTTAAAGATTTCTTTCTTCTTCCTTCCAAAAGTGGTGGGAAGGCCCAAGTATTTTTCATGTGATTCTTGCTGCTGGACACTCAATCTGGCAGCCAACATTCCGACTGAAGACTACTGCTAATTTTTCAAAATTAATCAACTGCCGATTCATACATTGTGTCAGCTTCTTTCTCTGTTGCGTGGCTGGGTAGTAGGGTATCATCTGCAAAAAAGAGGCGGGTGATGATTGGTGATGTTGGAACTATTTGGATTCCCCGTAGGTTTCCACATCTGTGAGCATCCAGCAAAAGAACATAGAAACTTCGGCGCAAATGATAAATAAGTAAGGAGACAAAAGGTCTCCTTGCCCAATGCCATGTTGCGGGGTTAGTGAACCAAATTCTTGTCCATTAAGTAAAAATGAAAAGGAAGTGGTGGTGATGCATCTTCTAATTAATGAGACAAAGTTGTTGCTGAAGCCTAGTGATGACATGACTTGAAGGACAAAGATCCATTCGACTCAGTCGAATGTTTTGCTCATGTCGAGCTTGAGGGACATCAGTCCCTCTTTGCCCGAGTTCTTGGTTCGAATGGTATGATGCATTTCCTGGGCGATAAGAATGTTATCAGTTATAAGGCATCCCGGAACAAATGCGGATTGGGAATTGGATATGATAAAAGGTAGGGTGGTTTTCAGGCGATTGGCTAGGACTTTAGAGATGATTTTGTAAGACACGTTGTAGAGTGATATGGGGAGACATTGAGTTGTTTGGTGAGGGGTTTTGGTTTTTGGTATTAAGACAATGTGGGTGAAGTTTAGCCTAGGGTCGACTTGGCCATTATTCAAAGCATCTAGGACAGCAGAAGTGACATCATGTCCTACGATGTGCCAAAATTTTTGAAAGAATAAGGGAGGCATACCGTCCGATCCTGGAGCCTTTAGTGGATGCATTTGATTGATTGTTATTTTCACTTCTTGGTGTGTGTATGGTTGATCCAGCTTGTTGTTCATTGCCTGAGTGATGTTTGGTACAATCATGTCCAAGACAAAACGAACCTCGTCGGTTGTGGTTGGTGATGAGGTGAAGAGATTTCCATAGCAGTCAACTATGATTCTCTCAAGGTCTGATTTTCCTGTGCACCATATCTCTACTTGATCTTCTAGACCTTTAATTTCATTCTTTTCTCTATTCTTTGATGCGATATTGTGGATGTATCGGGTATTCCTGTCCCCTTCTTTGTACCAGTGTAGTTTTGCTCTTTGGCGCCATTTGTCATCCTCCTCTTTGAGAATTTGTTCCAGTATCATTTTTCTGTTTCTGAGAAGTTCATAGGAGTGGTCATCCAACGTATTTTCCTGGAGCTTTTCTACTTCCTTTTTGAGCTTTTCAATCTCTCGTTGGTTTTCATTTGGGTGGTTTCTGTTCCAAGACACGAGTCCAACAAGCTTTCAGTTGTGAATGGAGATCTGTTGATGGTTCCGGCCATGAATTTTTTACTGCTGCCTCTATGTCTTCGCGTCTCATCCAGCGAGATTCGAACCGAAACTGCCTTGCTCTCTGGTTTCCAAAAGATCGGTGACATGTTTCCAGTGTTAATTTTACTGGATAATAGTTTGAACGGTAGCTGAAGAGATGTTCTACATCATAATCTGGGAATTTCTGCCTCCAAGAAACATTGGCACATCCTCTCTCTAGTCTTGCTCTGACTGTATTGGGGAATTTTTTTATTGCGGAACCAGGTGAAGCTCTGTCCTTTATGTCCTAAATCATCGATTTCACAATGATCTCTGGTCGGCGGTTGCCACTGCTCGTTTCATGATGGTATAAGACTTCATTGAAATTACCCATTACAAGCCACGAGATGGAGTATTTTGGTGTAGACTTTTGAGATCATTCCATCCGAGGTGTCTTAGAGAAGTGTTTGGCTCCCCATAGAAGCCAGTGAATCTCCAAGTGTTGTCAGGATCCTTAAAGTCAATGTAGGCATCAATGTAGCGGTGGGAACTACATTTTATTTCTACTTGCAAATTCGTTTTCCATAGCAAACCAGAGGCCTCCAGCCTTTCCAACTGAACTAACAAAAAAAACCGAATAATCTAAGAGAGTTCCTAATTCTATTGAAATCAGAAGCATTACATTTTGTCTCACAAAGAAAGATTTGTGAGGGATTATCGATCCTAATTAACTCCCTAAGTTCTTGTTCTGCTCGGGGGTTGCTAATCTCCCGACAGTTCCAGCTAATGATACTCATTCCTCTCGGCAGGACCGAGTCTTTATGTCGGTCGCCGCCGTTGACTTTATCCCACTGGTTGGGGCTTCCTTCCTAGTAGCTGAGCTTCCAGGTTTGACGGGAGTCCCGTGTCTTGAAGCTGCAGGTGGGGTAGCTTACAGCTTTTGGTTAATTTTCGGTTTTCTCGTGGAGGAGGTGTGGTTATTGATAGTGGGTTCAGGGGATGTGAATAGTTTGCTTTTGGAAGAGTTTGGGTCTTTGGTCGTTTGTGTTGGGCAGTCGATGTGCATTGGGGATATGGATTCAGTTTGTAAGGTGATGTTTTCTCCTTTAGGATTCCTTTTTATGTTTTTCTCAGTACTTTTTAAAAGGTTAATCGGAACATCTTTGAGGAAAGGGGATTGGACACAGTTTGGTATTTGGAGCTTGGTGGTGGAGGAGGGGTGTGGTTTCTGGAGTTATCTCTAGCACCGTATTTGTTTGGTGTAGAGATAATTGTGTTTTTGGGTGGGTTATTTTCAGGGCATTTGGAGTGATGGGTCAGGCGTGTTACGGGTTTTGGTAGGTGAGGGTTCTGTTTTTTGTTGCTGCAAGCTTGGGTGGGGGAATATATTTTGCTTTTGGGTTGGTGTTTGGCAGTGGGCTTAGTGTGGAGATGGGCTTGATTGTTGCGGTTTGGAGGTTTTCATAAAGGGTATGGTTTGTTTTGTGGTTAGTGGTAGCGATTGCTAAGGGTTGAGACGGGGGTTGGGGCGGAGTAGTTGAGGTGGATGGTAGAGCTAGAGTGGGGGGATTCTTTTGAGTGTTTCCTATTGTTATGGGGGGAGTGGGGGATTTTGGGATCTAGGGATTCTAGGGGAGTTGGAGAGATTTAGGTTTGAATTATATCCTTGAATTTCATCTTGACCTGGTACTGGCGCTCCGATGATTGTCGCGTCGCCGAAACGGTGACTCTGTTTTGCTTTCAAAGGCACGCTCCAACCCTGTTGTTCGCCGATCTTGATTCCTTTAAGGATGCGGTGGTCGCACTCCTTTCCAGTGTGTCCAAGAATTCCACAGTGCCAACACATGATTGGAAGTCTATCATATTGGAAATACAATGATCTCGAAGTTCCATTGCAGTCGATAAGAGCTTCTGAGTAAAGTTTTGCTAATGTCCAGTAGCTTTCGGATTCTGAGAGAGTAGCCCCAGCAAGTTCCACTTTTGTTCTTGATGACCTCCATGAATGTACCGATGCTATTGCCAATATCCTCAGCCAAAGATGGGGTCATGTAGTCCAAAGGCATCTTTAGGACTCTGAACCAGAATGGGCAGTGGTTGAATTGTAGTTCTGTGATGTCAACCGAGTTTTTGTGCTCTGTCAGGACGATCAGCTGTTTATGGAAGGTCCAAGGCGCTCCTTCCATGATGTGCATCTTATCAGACAAAGCTTTGAAATTTTAATAGGATCAGGTTGTTCTTCGAACTTCATAGTCGATTGCTTCCTTGCATTTCCAGACCTTTTTCATTTCATAAACCAGGACATCTCCACTGACAAATTGGTTGCCTAGCAATTTGGCTACCAAGCAGTGAATTCCTGTGATGACTGGGCCGCTATCTTCAGCAATAGTCATTTTGGAGTATTTGGCGATGATTTCGTCTGGCATTGGGGGGTAAGGGGTGAAGTTTTGTTTGAAATTGTTTTTGATTAGAAGTCTTTGTTGCGGTTTTGCAGAGTTTGATGGGCATGCAGTGGGTGGTGGGAATTGCATTTTATAAGTGGTGTTTTGGTCTTGAGGATCTACTATTGGGATCTACAGATTAGGTGATATGGTTAACATCTGATCTAGTGTGGATGTGGCTAGGGTTGGGATTTGAATTTCAAGAGATTTGCAAGATACTGTGTTTGGAGCTGAGTAACAACATGAAAATTTTGTGAGATTAGTATATGGATCAAATCGAAAGATAGCAAAGCAAAGTCTAATCAGAGAGAGGAAACATAGCCTGGATTGTTTGCTTTGATTGTTTTCCGTTGCAATCGTTAAGATCCAGATATGATTCAAGAGATCAAAGGACAGATTTGTTGTAGATTAGCCTGATGGGATTGTGATTTCATATCTAGGATGAAGAAAGTTGTGAATAAACTGTAAAGCCTCATGAGAATGACTTCCCTGAGGACTCTTTCTCTCTCTCCTGTAGGGAGGAGGACTCATGTTATTAATCGCACAGACGGATTGAGAGAATTCTAAATCCGAGAAAAGGACTCCTTGGTAAGCACAGATGGGGCTGCTCCTGCTCCTGCTCCTCCTGTAGCGCAAGAAAAGAAAACGACATTCAACACGAGAATGTTGCCCAACACGTTGCTTGGGCTGATCAAACATATGAAAGAGAACAGACCAGAGCAGGTTGAGGCAAAGAAGGAGATAGGCTTTGGGGCATAGCTACACTTGGAGATAAAGACTATGCCGTTGCAATTGTTCCTTTTCCTGGCCAACAAGTTTCTACCTGGCTCATGGACCCTCACCTTTCCCAATGAAGAGAAGTTGAAGTTTGAGGATGAGGATGTGCTTGCTGTCTTGGATTTGCCCCAAGGAAACAAAGAGGTTGAGCTCTTCGCACCATCTGAGTGGCTGGAAGTCGAATACGATGCTTTTGTGAAAAGAGTGGAAGTAGAGGTTTGATCCAAAGGAAGGGAAAACATAGTACAACGCAAAGGTGGGATTTATGTTGAAAGATAGAAAAGATGATGGGGATGAATTTAAGATAGATGGGTTTAGGGTTTATGATTTAGGGTTTAGGATTTGTGGTTGCATGTTTCCTATGGGGGTCATACGGAAAGTCTTACCTGTTTCTCTTCCTCAAGTCATCAGGGACATCAACAAGATTAAAGAGTACAACTAGTGTGCTTTCACCATCAAGGCTCTCATCGATGGAGTTGAATTCTGGATAAAGCACAACAACTTCTCTGGACCCCTGGCCTTCTTTGTGGTAATGCTTTGTAAACCCTTTCAACATTGTCAGTGATCCTTACAATTGGTCTTGTCTAAATGGCTTGTCCTTTTAGTTATCTGTTCTTGGTCTTCCTGGTAGGCAATCTGTTCGTCTTGGTTGTTGGTGTCTAAATGGTCTGTCCTTTCACTTGCATGCCTCTGGTCTTATTGATTTTTTCTTTGACATTTTGCCACTTTGCAGCTCACATACCTGGATAGGTGTGACTACAAGATAACAAAGCACAAGAGAGCTATGTTGGTGATCTCTTGTTGTAAAAAAAGAACCCTGCAAAAGAGGGTGTCTGAAGAGGAAAAAGGTAGAAGGTTCGGACAAGTGAGTGTGCTCGACTATCTCTACGGTGCACCGGCAAAGGAATGCAAGCTTAAAATGAAGAAGAACAGCGGCAGCAAAAAAAAAATGGTTGAAAGACGGATTCTAGATACGGCTTCCAAAAGAGATACCAGAAGTGGTTGATTGGCACTAGACCTAAACCTAATCACTATTGCTAAGAATGTTCCTGGGACTGTTTTTGTTATTGGCCAACTCTTCAACTCATTTAGTAAACTCATCAATCCTCTCATTCGTGCTGCCCATTTTGTTGTTGATTTCTTCCATATCTTCCTGGAGTGCTTGAAGCATTTCATCAACGGCTTGCAACCTCTGGTCAAGGGTTGCCTGAATGTTAACGAGAAGGTCAATGATTTGATTTAGTGCTGCACTCTCTTGCGGATTTGGTGCAGGAATGGCGAGGGGATTGTTCTGATTGTCGGGTGGAGCATTGCTTGGTGGGTTGGCTGGTGCATTGGCTGGAGCATTTCCAGGATTCATTTTTTCCTTATGAGAATTGGAGAAGTTTTTTTGAGAGATGAAAGAAGAAGGTGAGGAAAAATGGTTTCTACCTGGTGACTATTTATAGCCAAAGATAATAGGCATAGTTTTCATGAATGCAGAGTGGGAAGACCAAATGCGAATGTAACTGTGACCCTTGAAGTGGTTTCCATGACTTTAAATTTTTTTAAAAAAAATAAATAAATTCTTTACATTTTCCAACTAAAATGATGAGGGGACAATAATCTAATTAATTGTGCAGCTCAATAAAGAGGGTTTGGCAACGATTTGATGTTTTGTGTTCCTAGTTGACCGAATTGGAGTTTTGGTCTTGTTTAACTCATATTTATTTGATTTGTTTTTAAATTGAATTTTGTTTTTAATTTCACTTTTGTTTATTTTCTTGATTAAGACATAATAAACTTTCAAACCACTGCACCGAGTTAAAAAATTTTTACTGAGTTTGAAGCCGAATTAAAAGAGCAAAGATTTCCAAAAGATTGAAAGATGAATAGGAATGTAATATTAAAAAAAGATCAACAAACACCTAAAAAATTATGTTCAAAGACCCCCGAAAAATTCTGAAAGACCAAAGGTTAAAGACAAAAAAAACAAAGATCATAAAGTAAAGACCCTAAACGACACGAAAATGCTTAAACTCCCTAAACCCAAAACATACTAATTTTTTTTTTGGTTTAGTTTTTTTAAACTTTACGAGACCATAGCCTAATTAGTTTTAAAACATTTATAAGTTAATCATGTTACGACATAAAGTAGGCCTAACCAACAACGGAAATGCTTAAATCCCCTTAAACCCCAAATCCCTTCGAATATAAATTGGAAAACGTTTTTACGGGAGAGATATCGGAGCGGGAATGTCTAAGGAGCGTGCGTGTATGAGCAGCGAGCGTGTGTGAGAAGCGGCAGATTCTCATGTAGCTTGCGGCTAGCGAGTTTTTGGCCGCCTGAGCACCTTTCGAATATAAATTAGAAACCTTTTACGAGAGAGATATCAAAGTGGGCGTGTGTGAGGAAAAGGAGTGTATGAGTAGCGAGTGTGTGTGAGGAGCAGGCATGTGTGAGCGGTAGATGCTCATGTAGCATATGGCTAGCGAGCTTTTCGACCGCCTACGCGGCCCTTCAAATATAAATTAAAAACTTTTTTGCGGGGTACATATCGGAGCGGGCGTGTGTGAGGAGGGGCAGATTCTCACGTACCCTATGGTTAGCGAACTTTACGACCGCCAGCACGGCTTTTCGAATATAAATGGGAAACCTTTTTACACGGGAGATACCGGAGCGGGCATGTGTGCGAAACGGGCGTGTGTGAGAAGCGAGCTTGTGTGAGGAGCAGTAGATGCTCACGTAGCCTGAGGCTAACGAGCTTTTTGGCTGCCTGCACGGCCTTTCCAATATAAATTAGAAACCTTTTTACGGGGGAGATATCAAAAGCGGGCGTGTGTGAGGAGCGAGCGTTTGTGAGGAGCGGAATACTCTCACGTAGCCTGCGCCTAGCGAGCTTTTCGGCGGCCTAAACCTTTTTACGGGGGAGATATCAGAGCGGGCGTGTGTGAGGAGCGAGCGTGTGTGAGGAACGGGAGATGCTCACGTAAATTGCGGCTAGGGAGTTTTTCGGCCGCCTGCGCAGCCTTTGAATACAAATTGAAAATTTTTTTACGGGGGAGATATCGGAGCGGGCATGGGTGAGGAACAGGCATGTGTGAGAAGCGAGCGTGTGTGCGAAGCAGGCGTGTGTGAGGAGCGAGTGTGTTTGAGGAGCGGCAAATGCTCACGTAGCCTGCAACTAGCGAGCTTTTCGGCTATCTATGCCGCCCTTCGAATTTTAAAATAAAATAAAATTTAAATTAAATTACTTTTAACAACATAAAAAAAAACTACAAAATTAAATGCTTTATAGTGGGAGCCCATATGAAAAGATGTATTATAGACTAATGAAAAGATAATAAAAAACATTTCTTAGTCTTAAATACAAATAAATCAATGTTATATTTTTTTAAAAAAATAATAATTATAAACCAAAAACGGGCTTGGTCTTTTTGAAATATGATTTGGTCAAAAAAAATTTCATCTAGAAATGACTTAATTGCCCTAATTCAAACCATAGGGGCTTATTTGTAGTTACTGTAACTAAATCATGATATATGTCGTCAAAACAATCCAAAATCCATAGGGGCTTATTTCCTTCCTTGACGTTCGTAATTCGGTTTGCTCTTAGAACCCTAATTTTTGGGGCATTTTTTTTGTCAACTGAAAAACCAACAGAGAAATTAGTGGCAGAGCGGCCTTTCGATTCTCGTGATTCTACCCTCTAAGAAAGTACTTTTATTTGTAAAAAGCGTGAATGTTGTTTGAAATGGCCATTGATAATGTCAGCTTTTGTTTGGCTGCGGTTTCGACTGGTCTTAAGCTTTTTAATTTTTTTTATTATTATTCTGGTGCTGTTGTTGTTGCTGTTGTTGAAAATCAGTTGGGTGTTTTTATTTGTTGTCTGAAATTTATGTATTTGCGTTAGTGTTCATGATAGATGCTTTAATTGTGTGGTCATTTCAATGGCCATTTCTCTAGCACAGTCTGAAAAAATGCTTTGTTGTTCCATCTGTTGCGTGGTTACCTTGGTGTTACTCTAGCACAGTTTGGGTTTGCGCGTTGGTCTTTTGTAGTTGTTGTTGTGGGTATTCAATTTTGTACAATTTGCTTGGTTTTCCTAAAACACACTGTGGTCTTGGTTGTTGATCCTCCTGTCCTGTGCCAAGGTTGGTCTTTTTGTTTGTTGGTATGGGTCTTGACTGTTACGTGCTTTTGCTAAGTTTTATGTGGTTGCCTTGAATTCTCTGCATGCAAGTGTTGAAAAGATAGTTGATTTCTTTCTAGTTGTGTACTGCCCTTGGTCCTGCCTAATGACCAAAAGAAATAAATCTCAAAATTCAAACCCACATACAATCATGAGGAAATTGAGCGCAGTTGATGGAGATGCACAACGGAAAAGCCCGAGGAAGTGCAAAGAATCGCCAACTGCTGCCGAGACCCAAGTGCCGAAAAAAGGCAAAGGTCCAGAAGAATCACAAGGACATTGTGATGTATGGTGCAAAGGATGTTGTTCCAGTACCTCAAGAGGAGCCCCTAAAAGTTGTGCATCTTGAGGCTCCACCAAGCAACAAGGACTCCTTGGTAAGCACACATGGGGCTGCCCCTGCTGAACCGCAAGAAGATAAAAAGACATCAAAGACATTCCTTACCAAAATGTCGCCCAGCACGTTGCTTGGGTTCATCAAACACATGAAAGAGAACACCCCAGAGCAGGTTGAGGCGATGAAGGAGATAGGCTTTGGGGCACTACTTGACTTGGAGATTAAGACCGTGCCGACGCAACTTTTTGTCTTCCTGGCCAACAACTTTGAGCCCGGGTCAAGAAAACTCACATTCCCAAATGGAGAGAAGTTTAAGTTTGAGGAAGAGGATGTGCTTGTTGTTCTGGAAGACGAATACGATGCTTTTGTGAAAGAGTGGAAGTATAGGTTTGATTCGAAGGAAGCGAAAACATAGTATACCACAAAGGTTGGATCCTTGTTGAAAGAAAGAAAAGATGCTGGGGATGAACTTAAGATCGATTTTGTTGTGTTTGTGGTTGCTTGCTTCCTATGGGGCTCATACGAAAAGTCTTGCTGTTTCTTGTCCTCAAGTCACTTAGGGACATCAACAAGATCAAAGAGTACAATTGGTGTGCATTCACCATCAGTGCCCTAATTAAGGAAGTTGAGTTTTGGAAAAAGCACAACAACTTCTCTAGACCCCTGTTCTTTCTAGTAATGCTTTGTAAACCCTTGATACCTCTATTAAAATTTGGTCTTTTTATACCTCTATTGATATGGCTTTCCAGTGTTGAGTGCTTACTTTGGTCTTCCTGTAAAAAACTCTAGTCTTGGTTGTTAGTGCTGCTGGTCTTGTCCAAATGGTGTGTCCTTTCAGTTGCCTCCCTTTCGTCTGGCTAAAAGGAACTCTGGTCTTGTTGTGCCATTGGTTTGGTCTTCAGATTTTTGTAGCTTCCTTGTCTTTCTAGAAGACACTTCTTTGTTTTTGATGTTTTTGCCCACTTTGCAGCTCACGTACTTAGATAGGTGTGAGTACAAGATAACAAAGCACAAGAGACCTGTGCCAGTGATCTCTTGCTGGAACAAAAAAAACCTACATAAGAGGGTTTCTGAAGAGGAAAAAGGCAGAGGGTTTGGTCAAGTGAGTGTGCTCAAGTGTCCCTGCAGCCCGGTGGAAAAGGAAGGCAAGCATAAACAGAAGAAGAGTAGAGGCAACAAACAAACATCTTCCAAGACCAGCAAAGAGGAGCTGGAAGTGAATGAAAAAGATGTTTCGGATAGCCTACGTTTTACAAAGAAATCTGTTGAGGTACGAATTCAGTTGTTTGTATTCAATCTTTATTAATCATAGCCATATTTGTCGTCCTTGTTCTATGAAATACTTCTGATGGTTTTTGTTTCTGTCACCAGCTCATCGGCCGTTACAACAAACTCTTTAACTTGATTTCGGACATAAAACAAAGCTTTGTTGGCATTCAAACTGTTGAAAAAGAACTTTAAATCCATCCAAGCCCTTCAATGAATAAACTTCTTCAAAACTTTACATATGCAGTAATCATGACTACAGCAAAGAGCATCATGCCACAATGATGAAATTTTGTATGAAGACGAACAGTTTCTCAAGTGCATGGAATTTTGCATGCAAATTGTGGACATGGTTAACTTACAAAGGAAAAAATCAAATGATGATGTGGTTACTTCTTAATGGAATAGGTATGTTGTTCTTATGTTTTGAATATGCGCTTTTTACGCAAGCCCGTATTAGTATCTAAAAAATACACTTTTGATGTAAGCCTGTATTAGTATATTGTGTGCTACAATGTTTTAGAATGCGCTAATTTAGAAGTGTTGTATCAATGTCTTATATTTTATAATGTTGTTGGTTTGACTTCTTTTTCCCATTGGTCTAATTTTCCACTCAGTTGAAACACGCAATATAAACAAATGTATTCTATAAAACATACACAAATGGCCTGGTGTAAATATGAAGAAGATCACCATAAGTGCGTTGTTTACAACCTCACATATTGAGATCCAAATAAGCATAAGTTTAAATTAGAGATTGAACTAGCAATAGTGAGACCAAGTTCCCAGAGTGGCAAGACCCTGGATAAAATGCAGAAAGAGCAAGTCTTGGAATAAAAAATGTAAAAAGGCCAGACACCATAGACAAAAGACCTGGAGGAAAAGATGAGATACTAAAAGGCAAGAGCCTACGTTTTATTAGAGATTTTAAGAATAAAAACCGAGATGTATGAATAACATATAACATATTCTAGAAATAGATATAGAATAGCAGTCAAAGCCCAATAAACTCCAAATTTGAAAACCTCAATCACGAAAGACCACATGTCCGACAACCAATCTCTAACAAACATTTACACATTAAACATTTTGGCACACCATCTCTGTACAGCAGCCTCCAAATTGGGATTGGTAACTGAATCAGAATTTGAAAATGATGCCAAATTAGATGTATTTGAAGCAGAAGCAGCTCACTCTTATTCAACCGAAGAAAAAACTGCTTCTTTTGTTCTAGCAGCAACAAACATTGCTTTCTTTCTGCGTCTGCCACCACGTCGAGAAGACTTACCCATTTATTGTCCCCTCCTTTTTTCCTTCTTCCAGCAGGATTCAACACCACTTCGTTTATGTTTGAATCATTATTCAACTGTGGAACAAAACTAACATCACCAACTGCTGCTTGTACTCATGCAGTCAACACCTTCAATGCATCTCGCAACACACTTGTGCTTTTGTACTCAACTCACTAGCTATAACGAAATCTGAGAATTTCTTAATCATGGTCATTGTCCAAAGCGACGAAACAACACCAAGGTGCTGATTCGTTAGTTGTTTCGCTAGTGGTAAGTGAACCCTTTAACCGTAATCTTTTGTCCACCTCATATATATGTACTGATCTGGCAAATTTCTTACATTCAAAACCCTACAGCAATGCCAAAACAATATACCAGCCTCTGTATACATCTTGCAGGAGCAAGATATGTCCAATAAGTGGGCTGAAACTTTATGATTCTTGGAAACTCAACACAATCATGTTTTGGGTGCAACACTGAATAAAAATGCTTAGTACCATCATAACCAATAAATGTATCCTCACATGCAAAGCCTTTGAGATAAATTTATTCGAAATGCTGGACTGAATCAACAACATAAACTTCCCTAGCTTTCTCCAACAAAGAAGAATGACTATCAAGGAAACAGCATTACCTTAATAACTACGTAAATTTTCACACCTCTCCAACTCACACCAGTCACGTAGGACATTTTTGAACAGCCGATAGAAGCTACACATTGTGGTGGTCTCACTCAACCCTCTAGAAACAGACTTGTTTTTTGTTTTGCTCCTTTGAGAAGATAGAATGCCACTAGAAAAATAATCCTCACTGAAAGTAGGGCACCAAAGCTCCTTATCTTGGTACTAATCACTCAACCATTTGACCTTTGTGCAACCATACAGTCGACACATCCTGAAAAAGACAGAAAAATTACACATCAGACTCTTTGAAATAGCTATCAACAAGTTAGCAAGACAAAACAATTTGCACGAGACCAGTAGTACCGCCAGGAAAGACCAAACTGCCGCTAATCAAGACAAAACTGCAACCACATCATACCAAAAGACCAAACCAATGTTACAAGACCAACAGTACTAACAAGCAAGACCATCAAGAGTCTCTTCCAGCAAAACCAAGGCAAAATACATAAAGGCCAAAGACCATAGTAAAGAGCATCCCCCCTTTCCCCCCCCTCCCCCCCAAAAAAAAAAACTAATAATAATAATAATACCAATAATAAGAAGACTAGTAGTACCAACAAGAAAGACCAATTGAAACTACATCAGACTCAAAAAACAAACCAATGTCTCAAGACCAGCAGTACTACCAAGCAAGACAAGAATGTCTTCCAGAAAAACCAAGAATGAAAGAAGGACCAACAAGTTACTTGTCCCAAAACCACTCGAACTCTTCCACGGTGCTGGCATACTTCAGAAGGTAACTAAACAAAGTCACAAAACCTTTCTTCTGCCTCAGAAACATAATACGATTTTTACTGTTTGTTGAAATATGCCACAAGCACCATCTATGGCGAGCAAAGGGAAAAGAAATCTTTATTGCAGCAGTCATTGCACTAGCTTGGTCTGTCATGATAGTAATCGGTGGTTTTTCCCCCATGGATTCTAGGAAATTTGCAAAAAGCCAAACGAAAGACTCAGTCCTTTCATTTTGGAGAAATCCACATCCAAACATCAAATTCCTATTGTGGTTGTTCATTCTAACAAAAGGGGCACATATCATCCCGTACTTATTGGTTTGATACGTTGTATCAAATACAACCAAATCACCAAAGTAATCATAATCTGAGCTCATTCTATAATCCCTCCAAAACATACCACAAAACCTAGAATCATCATCAAATAGATATCTAAAATAAAGATCAACTTCATCCTTTTCTCGGACTCTAAAATGTCAATAAGATTACCACAATCTTTGCCATCCCCATCAGAACCCTTGTATGTTGCTCTCTGATTTAATACATCCCTCAAGGTACAAGTCGTCTCCTCAATTTCATAGTTATTCTAATAAAGCCTAAAGGCTGTTGTGGGAGCAATACCACTCTCATCCATCACTTTAGAGTACCTTGATGCATTTTCAGAGATACTCCTATGGGAACGCAACAAGTTAACCTTATCCGGCAGACATAGAGGATGACAATGATTAAGATCATGCTTGGTAACAGTCCATGCACGTTCATCATCCACCTTAAAAAAAATACAAACCCCACATCCAACATGAAAGTCAACTTTTGAATAAGAAACACTATTCTTTTCATCTCGAAACCCCTGTTTGTGACAAACATACTCTTTTCAAGTTATTTGTCGTGTCTTGTGTTGTCTATTCTGTTGGCCTCTTAGGATACTAAATCCAACTTTTGCGGCATGTGCATTGTACAAATCATATGCTTCTTGTTCAGAATTGACAACACGCGCAACTAAACTTAAAACTGATTTCTTCATTTGATGTGAGAACACTTTGACTTCCTTCCCTTGTGACAAAACTTTCATTTCCTCCACCTGAAAAATCCAAAAATAAAATGAAACACATAGTGCATAAAACCACAATACAGGACCAACAAATAACCCTACAGGACCATGACCCTCCCGAGTACAAAGACCAACCCACTACACTGAAAGACCCTGAAGCCACCAACAAAACACACGACCCTCCAGGGTACAAAAGACTGTCAAGATTAAATTGCAGGACCAACCTATTATATTTGAAGGACCCTGAAACCACCAACAAAAGACACGACCCTCCAGAGTACAAAAGACTGTGGAGATTAAATTGCAGGACTAACCCATTATACTGAAGGACCCTAAAGCCACAACAAAAAGACGTGACCCTCCAAAGTACAAAAGACTGTGGAGATTAA